TGGGACATCTGTCATAGTTGATATTAAAGAAATATAGAAAATTATATTTAAAAATTAACTTGTAATTAATATTAAATGGAACATCATTTTTATGATATGCTGGTGGCGAATATCATAAAATGGAACAGGTTTTCCATTGCTTCAATCAATAAGCATTGAAGATAATTAGTTTGAAGAATTGCAATGAAAACTCCAAGTGCTGTGCCCCATCAATATTCTATTATGCATGAAATAATAAGATTAATTAGAATAATTTATCTTATTATTTAATATGCAAAGAAGTTATACAGATTATATTGATATAATAGATGAAGTAGAAAATATAGAACAAGTAATGATAACTGACAATAAATGTAAGAAAGTATGCTATTTTGTTTTAGAAATAATTAAGTTAGGAATTCAATATATCAAAAATAAAAATGTAAATATTAATATAAATGCCTCCAAAGAAGAAGCAAGAGAAACAAAAAGAGATTGAATGTGTCAAATGCGAAAAATGCGGTCAAACAATTAAACCATTAAATGAATTAGAATTAGATAAAGAACATGTTAAAGTTAAATGTTGGCCGTGTTCATGTGGTAGAACCATGCATACAGTACATACAGTAAAAAAGAAAGATGCCGACGGGAGCACAGTTGAAGAAAGTTGGGTAGAAAACTTCAAAAGTGGATTTGGTAGGTTATTTACACCTGAGAAAGAATGATGAAAAAATAGTATTTAAAGAGTAGATTTAACACCACTTCAAACGCATAAATAAATAAATAAATATATAAATATTTATATATAGAAATGTCTGAAGTTGAGAATGATGCTATTGTTGAACTATCAAAGAAGATAATGACAGTTAGTAAAAATGTTAAACTGTTGTACGAGATGATAAAAACTATTGACCAGAAACTTGATGCAAAGGCAAACGAACCAAAAATAACAATGAAGAGAAGGAAAAGATTGACAAAATCTTTGAAAAGAAAGGGATAGGCAGACCCAGCGGTGATTATGACACGAAGCGTAAAAAATATTGTGATATGTTAAATAAGGGACAAATCAAAAGTCCAAAAGAACAAACATTAGAATATTATAAACTAATTAAGGGTGATGATGGTAAATATGTAATTGTTGAAAATTAAAATATAAATAATTCTAATAATATGAATTTATTAGAATTATTTTCAGGCACAGGCAGTGTTGGACTTATTGCAAAGTCGCTCGGTTTTAATGTAATATCGTTGGATTTGAAAAATGCTGATATTAATTGTGATATACTTGAATGGGATTATAAACAGTTTGATAAGAACCATTTTAATTTTATTTGGAGCAGTCCTCCGTGCACCGAATACAGTATTGCAAAAACAACAGGAATAAGAAACATTGAATATGCTAATAGTATTGTATTAAAAACAATAGAGATTATTGAATATTTCGGATGGCCGTATTTTGTTATTGAAAATCCACAGACTGGGTTATTGAAAAGTCAGTCTTTTATGAATGGGTTAAGGTTTAATGACATTGACTATTGCAAATATGGATTTAATTACAGGAAGCGAACTAGGTTGTGGAACAACCTTGATAGATGGAAACCCCGAAGTTTATGTAAAAAAGACTGTGGTAAAGTTGTTAACAACAAACATATTGAAACTGCGCAACGGGCACCAAGTGGAAAGCGGGAAAGTTGGGGTGAAAATTATGTAAAACATAAGCAGGAAGATTTATACAAAATCCCGAGTGAGTTGATTTGTGAGTTGTTGGTGAGTTTGACGGATTAAGGAAAACGAGTTTGGGGTTGGTGTTGAAACTTGAAATTTGCAGGTTCGTCCAACGACAAAAGCGTAAAAAATATTAATTTTAAAATTTTCAAAATTATTAATTTTAAGGGGATAATCCATAGTTTATAAAATAAATAAAACACCAAAATTATATAGATATATCCGGAAACTCTTGCCAACCGCCAAACAGGGCACGAAAAATTGGCGAGAGTTTCCCCTTATATATTACTATAAAAATATAAGAAACAACAACCCTAAAAAGGCTCCGGACGAGGTCCCGCACCCAAGCTTGAAGTTGGTCGTCATACCTGCGCGGAGCGAAGTCGCGTTGGGAAAAGGGATGGGCGGGTCAGGGTAGAGGGTGAGGTGCCGACACTTGCAGACCGCGACTTTTTCAAGCGAGTCCCCCCTCATCCCTTGGTTGAAGCCTATTGTTCCAAATGACACAGCCATGTGCCCACATACCGGTTGTGGAAATTTAGGGTGTGGTTGTGGAAATTTAGGGTGTGGTTGTGGAAATTTAGGGTGTGGTTGTGGAAATTTAGGGTGTGGTTGTGGAAATCAGAGGCTTGGCTGTGGGACAGCTACTTGCTGACTACTCACGATGCCATATTGGCATCACCCGCCGTTTTGGCGAGTGCCTCACGGGCACCAACGCGCTTGGTCAACTCAGTTTTCATCATCTCGCGGAGCTGGGGCATCCCAAACTTCTCACTCTTGGACTGCGCCCAGTTGTATGCCAAACAGATTGTGAGCTCCGCGCCTTCAAGGATGCCCTGTGTCATCTGGGAGGTGTCCTTGATGGCGACCATTTCCTTGCCGAACAGAAAGGCGCTAGCTTTCTTCAACTTGTATTCGGCAGACCCACCGGTGTCTGCCGACACTGCTGAATAGGCATTCTGGAGCAGGTCCTCATCAAGGTCAGTGAGCAACGCCTGAATGGTGTTGCTTGGGTCCGCCTCTGCTTTGGTGTAGAAGGCGGACATCTTGCCATCGCAAGTGGCGACGCATTGCTTCAAGTCGGCCTCGCTGGTGGCAATGCCGTTGAAGATAGACTTGACGGACTTTTCAAGGGCCTTGGCCTTCTCCTGTGCCACAGCGGATTTGGTGGTGGCCTTCTTCGTGCCCTTGCCCCCTCCATGGAGCGCAGGAGTGAGCTTGAAGACGACCTCATCGGTGTAGTAGGCATCAATGCCATCCCAGTCGTTCAAGGTGGAGGCGCTACGGCTGAACTTGATGACAAAGAGGGTCATGTCAATGCTCAGGGACTTCTCCAATGCCAAGCGCAGGTCTTCACCACGAGCCTTGTTCATCTCATAGACATAGAACACCTTGAAAGAGCCCGATGCGGTCGGCGCTTCCAAGCCAAGCTTCTTGATATTCTCGCCGTCAAGGTTCATATCGTCCGTCACGCCAATGTGGATTTCTTCAAAGTCTTCCTTCTTGTTGCCCATGGTCTGGGCAATGTAGGAGCGCTTCATATCCTCCAACATCCAGAGCTCATCCGGATTGACCTTGATGAGGGCATTGGGCGGGTTGAGCTGTCGCATCAGCTTCAACCGCTTCTCGTGAGCCTCAGTCCAGATGAAGACCGATGACGAAGCTGAGCCCTCGTCCTTCTCAGTGCCAGAGCAACACTCCTCTTCTTCGGAGGTCTCTGCATCCTCCTCATCGGTGGCGATGGGCTCATTCCGAGCCGCATGGTGAGGGGCAATGGCATCCCAGTTCTTCAAGATGTATTCCACGGCACCCGCCTTGGACTTTCCAGAGATGAAGTGCCCGAGGTTCTGCATCAAGCTCCTCAACTGGCTCAATGTCAGGGTATTGAGGTCTTCTCTCGTTGGAGTGGAAGGCGTCAGCTTCTTCAAGGTCTCCAACTCATAGACAGCACCTCGGGGCATCTTGAGCAGACAAACGCCGTTGTCGTTCTTGATGATAACCAAGGTCATCTTTGAGTTGGCAGGAGGATTGCGGATTGAGCCCTTGCTTAGGCTCAATGAGGTGATTTGCCCCCATGTGGTGGCAATGTGTGAAACCAAGCGGTCTTTGGTGGAGATGTTGGACACCTTCACCGAAAGCTGGGAGAGCATACCCTTCATGTCGTCCATTGTCAGAGTGCTCAACAGGTCCACATCAGGGCTCTGTGCTGGACCCATTGTCAGCTCACCGACACTGATGATGTCGCCACCACTGAAGCCCTTGACAATGAAGGATTGACCGCGTTGAACAACAAGCATTGCGAGAAGCTGTGTGCCTCAAAAACTCACTCTGATGTAAGCCAAAAAGCACTATGGCGTGTATTGTGTCTTCGGCAGAAGGCACATCAGCAATGCTTGACACACAGAACCTCAAATGCGACGCAACACAGGAAGGGGCACTAATTGAAGATGAAGGCGAAGAAGACGAAGCGCACGGCGTGGCGAGGCGGTCGTTTGTTTCGTTTTGTTGGTGAGGGTTTTGTAATTGTTCTTTGTGTTGTTCCTTGTTTGGTTTTTTGTGTGGTTTGTTGTTTGGTGGGTTTTTTCTATGAGGGTCTTACCCCTAAGCTCATGTTATGGTTTTGGTATGGTTGATTTGGGGGGCAGTTATTAAATTGCGTGAAAACCATAGGGGGGAGTCTATGATATTTGCTTGTGGGTTAGCCCTCCCTTGCTCATGCACCCTCCCCAATAAGAAAGGTCAGACACTGTAGACTTCTCGCCGGTGCTTGCACTTCAGCGGACAGCAGCGGGACCCCTTTGTTTTGTGTGTTCCCCCTGGTTGCCGAAGTCAGCCTCCGTACAGCTCGGTATTTCGAGACACTCGCTCATGAATGTGCCTTCCGGCTCAGCCATGGTGCCTTGTAAATCGACCAACAAAACGGTGTCTGTTTTTCGTCGCTCTTTTCTTTACCCCTGTTGTCAGGGAGTATGCTTTAAGGATGGCCTCAGCGGGTTTCTCGAACAGCGCCGCATCGTCACAAAACTACCCTTTTCCAACAATGGGAGAAGTTTCCCAAAAAGAGCCGTAGTCCTCAAAAAGCCTCCCATCAGCTTCCATGATTGAAGGGAGGATAGTGGGTTGATGCTATGGTGGCCCTCTCCAGGGACCCAACAACTCCCAAAAAATGGCTGCGCCTGGTTTGCCCATTCTCCTGCCCGTTTTAAGCCGCTGTCCGGCGTGTTTCACCCTTGTGGTCTTTCTCTGATAGCTGCCCTTGCACAAGCAGTCTCAGTAGGAGTCGTCGCGCGGCTCAGGAGCTTCTGTCGGAGTGCCCCCGGAATTTGGTCATGGAGGGTATCAAGGAGCCGGCGTTGTGAAGATGTGGAAGATGTGTTGGGTGTTTCTCAAAATGGGACGCGGGACTCGAAATGGTTTCCTTTGGGTTTCCTCCACCATTTTGAGAAACTCCCCTGAATTTCTCTCTAGGCGTCTCTTCCAAAGAGCGGGCTACCTATCAAAGGACACCAAATCATTTCGTTGGCCCTTTTTGAATTGCTCTTTGGTCTGTTTTTTTTTTAATGACAGATCCACGTTATATGTGATTTGCAACCGGTGTTCTTTTTTGGCCTTCCCAAGCGAGTAGAAGGTGCTGGACAGTCCCCTAGGGGCTGCAACCCCACTGTTCACCTCCCATTCCCGTTCTCAACCCGTCCGATAATTCTTTCCCGTAAAGTGCTGTTTCCCCCCTATGCACATTCACTATCCAAAACCATCCTGGGTGCTTGATTTCCCACAGAGAACACGACAGGTCCAGCAAAACCCCGGAAACTTGGTGCCCCACTACATCTGGTGCACCCCAAAGTCAACAGGAAGAAACATCGAGAAAAAACTGGCGCCCCACCAAATCAACCCCACAGCGAGACCCCGAACTTGCCCCACGAAATCCGGTGCACCCCCCCCACGAAATCTAGTGCACCCCAAAAGCGCGAGGCAAGGAGATTGACCCCCAACCGGCACAGCCTCCCTACTGTCGATGGACGAAATCCAATTCGCACCACTTTGAAACCATGGTTGAAACCAATTGTTTCCCTATGCTTCCAAAGCCTATTAAAAAAATAGTCGTTGTGACAACCCCGGTTTTTTGATAAAGACTATTTTTTGGATGACGAGCGGCAGCCTCCGTTTTGGACTGGAACAGGGACTAGGAAAGACTTGACGCTAAGGCCGCCTCATAGGATCCCAAAGCCGAATATGTATTTTCATATGCACAAGGCTAGTTGCTTGTATTTTGCTGGGTTTCTTAACATGGCCATGTAGCGCGTGAGGGTGAATCCTCTTCTGACCGTTTCTGTCCTTCTTTTGCCCCACTTTCTTAGCCACACCAAACAAACCGGGACAGCAAAAATATTTACCCATCACAGCAACCATTCCAGGATGAGAATGTTGATCTTCTGGGTCCCCCTGCAAAATTTGCCCGTTCTACGCCAAACAATAGTGGTTCTACGCCAAAAAATGGTGGTTCTACGCCAAAAAATGGTGTTTCTACGGTTTTCTACGCTTTGTCTACGGTTTGTCTACGCTCACGTCGTTTTTGGAGCTGTGTGAAAATTGGAGCGGAAAAAACAAACAAAGTTGCTTGTTGTTCGTGCCACCTGCGCAAATTGCAGAGGACAATTCTAGAATTTGCTAGAATGAAGGCTCCGTCTACGCAAGACTTTCAGCAGGTGCTTTGCGCAAACACGAAAGGGCGCCGAGGACCCTATCAATAAATAGTAATCTACTGGCTCCCAAGGCTTCTTAAGAGGTTGCAATAGCAGGCGTAATTTCGATAAAAACAAAGTAACAACCCAAAATGGACCCCAAAGGCCAATATCAAAAAATAGGGGTTGTCAATGCAAAAAATAGGGGTTGAACAACCCCTATTTAAAAAATAGTCGAGGAAGCATAGGGGTTTGCTGGTATTTACGTTAGGGAATCGAATCAGAAACCAGGGTTTCCGAACGGTGGTGCGAAATGGATTTCGTTCCAACTGCAGTACCAACCAGGACTACGCCTACCTCTATGCCACGCCCCGGGGCTTCGGGTTCCTCACGCTCTCGCAGCTCTCGCAGGGCTTGCGCCTGGACCCGGAGGCAGTTTTTTTGAGTCCGGGTGAAGTGCCGCCAGCGGTGTTTTTTTGTATTATTATGTCTTTTTTTTGGGGGGAGGGGGGGGGAGGGTGTTTTTGTTCTTTTTGTTGTTGTTTTTTCTCCCCGGGGGGGGGGGGGTGTTTTTTATTCTTCCGAGGTTTTAGTGAACTCTTTTCTTCCTGGTTTGAGTGGGGATCTCTTCCACTTTTGGAGGGGCTCCCCACCCCAAGAATGAATAAACAGGGGTTGAATAATATGAGTCAACTACACTCCCTCCCACTAACATGGCACCTGACGGCCCAGTCTGGAAAATTCATCCAGGCACCTCTGCACAGATCCAGGTTCGTGAAAGCAACACGTTTCAGGCCCATTTCAGCTTGCATCAATACATTTCGACTTTGTCTCCTCAATGGGCACCCACAACCCCACTGATCATTTGAGTTGGTCCCACTAGGCTGTTTTTCGTGGGGCTTCATTCAGGGCCACGTTTGAGTTTCCTCTGGGGCGCCCCTTTGGCGGGGAAGCATAAGGAGCCCCGGTCATATTCACAGTGATTGATTGCGATTGTTTCTTCGCCCATGTCATGGTGTCTTTCGGGGGAGGAGCAGCTTTAGAATTTGTAGGTCGACCAAGTACGGGCCAAAATCAAACAATGCCGCCCCTAGTTGGGCAAAAGCTGCGGTGGCAGCAATTGTTCTATGCGCCACGGAGCAAACCCTCTTCCCCCTTCTCATCTGGTTGTCCCTGTTTGCCCAGTTCCGCATAGAGAACGAGAGATCCATGAATTAGAAACCCTTCTGAAGCCGCTTGGTTTCTATTTGCTCACTTGCGCAAAACTGTGGCCTTCGTTCAAAGGGTCGATGGCTTTGCTCGATCAAACGGGGATCGCCGTTTGCCATCCTTTGCCCCTTGAGGGGCAGTTCAAACAGCATGAGCAATATGTGAGCTGTTCTTTTGTCGGGTGCCCAAGGGGACACATGCAGAACCTTGAGAACCTGTTGCGGAAATCCCGCTGCAACCATGTTTGCCCCAGATTAATTCGCCCCCTCCCCTCCCCCGCCCCGGCACGTGCTTTGTTTTTTCCTGGGTTTCTTTAAAGCAAAGGTTTCAATCTGAAAGATGCCACGCTTGTTCGAGGTTTTCAAATTTGGGCGTGATGTTCACAGGGCAGATCTGGATAGAATCCAGTTGTATATCGCGCGGGAACCCTGTTAACATACATGGAAACATAGGACTCAACAGAAAGACTGGAGTCTAAATGAACAAGTGTGTGTGTGTGTGTGTGTGTGTCCCTGTGTGTCCCTGTGTGTCTCTGTGTGTCTCTGTGTGTCTTTGTGTGTGTCTCTGTGTGTCTCTGTGTGTCTCTGTGTGTCTCTGTGCGTCCCTGTGTGTCCCTGTGTGTCTCTGTGTGTCTCTGTGTGTCTCTGTGTGTCTCTGTGTGTCTCTGTGTGTCTCTGTGTGTCTCTGTGTGTCTCTGTGTGTCTGTGTGTCTCTGTGTGTCTCTGTGTGTCTCTGTGTGTCTCTGTGTGTCTCTGTGTGTCTCTGTGTGTCTCTGTGTGTCTCTGTGTGTCTCTGTGTGTCTCTGTGTGTCTCTGTGTGTCTCTGTGTGTCTCTGTGTGTCTCTGTGTGTCTCTGTGTGTCTCTGCTCTGTGTGTCTCTGTGTGTCTCTGTGTGTCTCTGTGTGTCTCTGTGTGTCTGTGTGTCCCTGTGTGTCCCTGTGTGTCCCTGTGTGTCTCTGTGTGTCTCTGTGCGTCTCTGTGCGTCTCTGTGCGTCTCTGTGTGTCTGTGTGTCTCTGTGTGTCTTTGTGTGTCTCTGTGTGTCTTTGTGTGTCCCTGTGTGTCCCTGTGTGTCCCTGTGTGTCTCTGTGTGTCTCTGTGTGTCTCTGTGTGTCTCTGTGTGTCTCTGTGTGTCTCTGTGTGTTTTCTGTGTGTCTCTGTGTGTCTCTGTGTGTCTCTGTGTGTCTCTGTGTGTCTCTGTGCGTCTCTGTGCGTCTCTGTGCGTCTCTGTGTGTCTCTGTGCGTCTCTGTGTGTCTCTGTGTGTCTCTGTTTGTCTCTGTGTGTCTCTGTGTGTCTCTGTGTGTGTTTGTGTGTTTGTGTGTGTGTCTGTGTGGGGGCCTTTGTTTAATCTAGCAGATTTCAACCACGTTTCTTGCAAAAGCCTGCCGTTTCGCCGGGGAGTTGGCAGGCTTCTTGAAAGAAGTATCTGGAAAGAGTGGGAGGGGGAGCTTACCCTCCAACACCTCACATGGAATGTGAACAAAAAAGAACTGGTTTCAGAGTCCATCTCAGAAAGAAAGAGGTTGTTCGCTCATTTGAAGGGCAGGCTCCATGTGAACCCCAGTCCCAGGAACACCACCTTTTGCCGCAACTGTTACCTTGGCATCGCCAGCGCCGGCGGTGTTGGCCTAGACGAGCCTTGGTGGGGCTTTTGGCTGGGCCCGGGCGGTTAGCTTTATGGCCTCAAGCAAAGCCATGGATCTAAGTCCCTGTTCAGTTGGTTGCAGCCAAAGTTAGCAACCATTTAGCCTACTCCCAGGCTCATGATGGAGGTGCCTTACTTGAGGATTCCTTATTTCCAGCCTGGAAATTGTAACATTTTGCCCAGGGGTGCGCGACTCGGGAGAATGGGTAGGTGAGGTTGGGCGGGGGGGGTCTTCGAGTCAGGGCCACTGAAATTACATTGAACCCCTCTGTGTTTTGTTGTGTGTGTGTTTGTACGGGTGTTCACCGATGCCGTATGCGGGTTTGCCCAACATAAGCCTCCGAGCAGACTCGGGGGAGCCCATTGCAGGCTGGCCCAGTTGCGAGAAAGATTTTGAAGCAGACCATTTCGTGATCCTCAGGGACCTTTTTGCGCGGCACTTCGCAGGAACCACATCTGACCTTCGTTTCGCGGCGAAAGGCGCGCCTGGCGGCAAAACACAAAAACACCCAGTGACCTCTCGGCTCCTTTCGAAAGCGAGCCATGGCCCCAGGAGACGTGTCATTTCCTTTGGGCATGGTTTCCTAAGGCCATGGCTCCAAGTGCATCCCATCGGGGCCGCAACATGTGTGGGGAAAAGTTCAATATCTATTGGCTCGCGCTAAGAAGTGCTTTGTTGTTTGACTTGTCGTTTCGCTCATTTTAGCCGGGAGCGACAATACTTCAATACACGTCGGTTGGTGGCAATGGTATTGGAGGCGTGCGTGCCACGTCCCTCACATCTTGAGGTTCTCAACATTCCTTTGGCTTCCCTTTAAACTTGGTCCATTTGAAAGATCACCGTTACCAGCTGCAGATTTACAGAATCTCAGTACGACACATGAGCTTAGATCATTTTGAGATGTTGCCTTAGTGCCCCCCACCCCCCCCCCCCACCCACCCAATTCCCCCCCTCCCCCGCCCCAAAAGAATAACCTCCCCCCTCCCAATTCGCCCCCTCCCCCCCCCCAAAAAAAAATCTAACCCCCGCGCTCGGCGCCCAGGACGAGAAGCAGGCGATCCTCGCGGCGCTGAAAGCGGCCGCCTCGGCCGAGGCCAGCGCCGCCATGCCCAACTGGACCACCGAGGCGCCTTTTGCCATCGGGTCGAACCCATGCCGGGGCTCGGGCGCGCGCTCGAAAGTCGCCCGTTTGTTTCTGTTTTTTTTTCGGCGTGGGGGCTGGGGGGTGGAGGGAGGGGAGTGGGGAAGGGAGCCCAACTAAGCCCATATTCACTCCCTCCCCATGAGTTTTAGTTTCTCACATGGGAGAGCCCAAAAGTGGAGGGGCACCCTCCCACCAATCAATGCAAGACCATGTTCCTTTTACAGGGGCCCCCTGTCAGGTTCCACGTGATTTGGAGAGAGGATAATTGTCTGACAACAAGTCCAGAGAAAGAGAAAGAGAAGGAGAAAGCAAAACACAGAGAGCCTGCTCCAAACTATAGTTCTCATATGCTTTAAACTTCCACCTTCCGGCTCTGTCGGTCGCTGAAAAAGGAATCATGGATTTATAATCCCCTGGTTGGTTGACCGGGGTATCCGAATCTCAAGGGCTTTTGCACCGCTGGGGGTGTTCATCCATCAGGCAATTAATCCAAGGTCGGCCTCTGCAGTGGGTGGGTGGCCCTACTCGAGTTTGGAAGCCCATTGGTGCTTAAGATCTATGGCTAAGTCCTCGAAGTGGGTTGCAGGGTAAAAGGCTAAGGGTTGGGGATGGGGATCCCGATATCTTTATCCCCTTCCTCTTTGCTTTCCTTTGTGTCTTCCATTTTTCTGCACCTTGCCTTGTATCTGGCTCTTTCTCGTCCTCGTTGTCTTTATCTGTCCCTGTTTCTGTCTCCGTCTCTTTCTCTTGAGCTGTCTCTTTTTTTCGCCTCTTCATGTTTCTGTTTCTCTCAGTTTCTTTTCCTCTTTCTCTTTCACTACTTCTCTTTCCTTTGGTCATTTGCTTTCTCTTTCTGTTTCTCTTCTTCTTTCTCTTTTTTCCCGCCCGAAAGTGAACAACGCGGATAATCACGGCTTGTTTAAGGTCAACCGACGAAAGGCTGCAGAGGGTTCACCTTCTGATGGCTGTGCCAGCTGGAAAGCCCAATCAAGCTGTCACAAACAACGATTCTTTTCAGATCGACCCATCGAAAGTTCGCAGAGGGCCGCGCGAGCGAGCTGAACATCGTACATATTTGTATATATACTTTACGTCCCAAAGGGCGCAGAGGGTCTACCGATTGAAGGCTGCGCAGCAACATTCGCGGACTGTCCCGGGACCGCCTCCGTACAAGCGTCGCGAAGGTTTGAAGAGACAAATTCAGGCACAGGTATTCCCCATTTCTCACGAGCACGCCGCTCAGGCCCATGCATTCTGAAAGGGAGCTGGCTCAATTAGCTGCCAGGTTACCCGCGGCAGATTTTTACGCTGCCAATTTCAATCCCGTTCAACTGGACGGCTTCTCAGAACTTGAAAGTGTCAAGATGCCCTTGTCAATGAATCCCTGAGTCCTCATTTCTCTGCATGCAGTGTATGCAATGGGCATGGCATGTGCTGCTTCCTTATACGAGACTGCACGAGTATGGCTCATGACCTGCGAAGAGTGCATGTTGTTTACCCTCCCACCAAGCATGGAACCCACTAGGAGGTCACTTGTCAGGGGCCTCCAATCAGGTTTCCTGGCCACGAGCGAGGGTCACCAAAAGTCCGGCAGGCGGACGTGACACTCCAGGAGCAGACGCCGCCGCCTTTTGTGGCATGGTGCCCCGAGGGCCAAAAGCACCTGTGCACTGCGAAGATCGTGGAGTGGTACCGGGCACGCGACGTGCCCATCCTGGACGAGGAGGGGCTTGCACCCTCTATATATTTGAGGTACCAGTCAGGGGCTTCGTTTTTTACACCACCGCTCACACCCTGAAAGTTGGAGGTCCAGAAACTGGGGGAAGCGGGACCAGGCTACGCTCTGAGTTTTGTTTTCCAGGCGGCTGCGGGAAACCAAATGCATCCTTGTTTTGTTGCTTAGCTACTCTCCAAGCTATATATCATGGAGCCCAAAACGGGGGTCCCCACAAGAAGGTTCCTCTAAAACTGATGGTTCTCTGGGTTGAATGAATCTGCGGTGTGGGCGCCTATCTGAAAGCAAAGTCTTCGCCGAAAAAAGCTAGATCTGAGACGGTGATACCCTGAAATTACCGTTTTGAGGGGTTTAAACAGAAGCCAGCCCCAAACGGAACTTAAAGAACCCGTCAGCATTCCCACCTCAAGGCACCCAGAAAACGGTAGTGGGATATGATATCAGAAGGCGATGGCTGACAGCAAACTGCCACAAAAGGAAACTGCCAGCTGAGATTTGTCCAGGACAAACAAGCGCGTTCAACTCAGCCACTTAGAACCTCTTAAGCCACTGCAATGCTTGATCTTTACGTTCCAAATGAGTCCTAAATCCAATCGGATCAAGTCAAAGGGTTATAACCAGATGGCATCGGAATAGGCCTGCCTGGTACTTGAGTCTAGCACGTGTACCTCATTTTGGGGGCTGCCTGTTTTGGGGGAACCCTGCTTAGTGAATCCCCCAAAAGGGAGCCCCCTTAGTTGGGGGGGGGGGGGGGGCTTGTTCAATTTCTCCTGTATCATGTATTAGTTTATCTCTTATTTTTCTCAGCGATAAACTTAAATTAGTTATTTCAGAGGGGGAAATGTCGAAGAAGGACGTGTACTTCTTCGACGACAAGGAGGACAACGTGCGGCCCTTCACCGGCACCAGCTACAACGCTCTGCAGGTCTCTTGCGGGACCCGCGGCGCGGCAGAAGTTAGAAGTCCCACCTGTGAGGACCTTCAAGGACTTGAGGCAAAGGGAAACCCAAAGAGAAAACACAAGCTGGGTCCCTTAAGATAGGCGTGGCTAAAACAAGTCATTGGACTTCAGAAGGGGTCAATCCAGGTGAACGAGCGGGCATGTTTGCGCCCCGCATTTTTTTTCACAACTCCATGTTTCAGGGGGTGGGTGTGAAAGTCAGACACGGGGGTTGTCTCCCTCCGGGCTGGGGGGGGAGGGGGGAGGCGGGGGGGGCAGTGACTTTGAGCATGGTGTTCGTTTGGCGCGTCCGAATAAAGACGAAGATCAAGCATGTCCGTTTCATGGCCATTCAACAGGGGGCATAGTTTCCTTTGTGGCAGTTTGCTGTCAGCCATCCCCTTCTGCTGGTATCCCATTGCGGGTTCTTTAAAATGTAAGGTTGCGTTTGGGGTTGGTTTCTTCTTAGATTCTTGAGCCGTTTTGAAGAGGGTAAGTTGAGGGTGTCGCTGTAGCGGACTTAGCTTTTTGTCGGCGAAGGGACTGCCGCACGGCCGCTTCGGTCCGTGGCTTGGTCCTGCTTGCTCCAGTTTCTGGACCTCCAGCAATCAGGGTGCGAGCGGTGGTATAAAAGGCCGGACTGATTTAACAAAATGCCATACCTCAAACTGCCCCTGGCTAAACATCTTAATTAGGGGTGCAACTTACTTGAAGAGGTGGCCAAACACAATGCACATGCAAAATATAGAACATCCCTCCCACTCGCCTCCGACCTCCGGACGCGGGAGATCCGAATCAAGCCAAGCATCCTAGAACCAATACCTCATTGCCCAAAGCCGAACGTTTGACCTTTTGGTGTTCCTGTTTTGGCCCATGCTTAGTCACGGTCACAAATGGTTGACCTTTTATTTCCAGGTACCCTGCAAATCAGAAGGGGCCCCCAAAAAAAGAGCTTATCAAAACAAAGTTTCTTTAAAGACGCTAGCTTTCGGGTTCGAGTTCACTGACAAAATGGCATCCGCCCGACACCAAGAGCCAGCCTTCCAACCTTCCAACCCCCTCCCTCCCGCGCACGTCAGCTCTCCTCGCGCATCCGCGCTCCCGCGCTCGAGGCAACGGCACGCGGGGCCTCTGCGGCGGCACGCTCCAGGAGGCGCAGCCCGCGAAGGGCGTCTTCTTGTGCCACGGAGCTGCCCAAGTCTGCGCCCAGGCACGCCGGGACTCGAAGGGCGGGGAAACCTTCTCACCCGGGCAGGGTAGCTTTCCGTTCCCTGTTTTACCTTTTTGTCCATACGCTTTTACCTTTTACCTCGGGTCTATAGATGACCCGGTCAGTTCTAGAAATCAACTTTTGGGAGAGGATGTGAGCCCTGAGACAGCCAGACAGCTGCTGAGGCATTGCGTAAAAGGGGGCTGCAACCCGGGCTCTGTGATGGGCTAGGCCGCACGCCGGTTCACCCTGGATGGACTCCTCCCAGTTATTCATGAGGAGGGTTCCCAATTGTCCAACGGCTTTGGGCAATCTCGTTGCAAACGAAGCATTTTTTGGACTGAACAGCGAGCCTTTGATGAATCATCGCGGGGTTGATGAAACGGGTCACGTCAAGTCTCGTTCTTGGGGGACCCCTCCCCCGTTTTGGGTTCGATGTTGGTGTAGTGAGGGCCAGGAACCTGTCTCCGAAGACTAAGTGATTGGGAAGGCCAATCCGCAGTGGTTCAAAGGTCATGTTCAGGTTAGTTGCTAAGATAATAGAGGATTGGGGCAGCTTGCCCTCACAGTCATGTGGATGGCCTCCAGGAGTTTTTGACATCTTTGGACCATATCCGTTACTTCTGGGTGCCAAGTATCACAAATTTGTCAATGTTCCTTAAAGGAAAACAGAAGGTGATTCGTCAAGCTGAGCAATCTGACAGCTTGGTGGGGGGGGTTTGCATGGGTGGATGGGTGGGCCAACGCAAGCTACGCAAGCTGCCTGGCACCCGAAACAATTTACACAACCGTGCCTGCCGAGACGCCTGTGAGAAGCTGGCAGCCAGCTGCAATCAATGCTTAAGTTGCAGCCCAGGAAGCTGAGAAAGACTAAAAGAGCCGATTTTGGGACACTAAGGTTCCCAGCCTTGCAGGCAATGGGATGTTGGCCGGTGCTGCGGAAGGGGTCAATTCTTTGGACAGTTCCAAGCCAACGTGCGCAATGCCCACAGGATGAATATACACAAAGTCAGCTCTCCCAACAGCTGCCACATAACCTGCCCAAAAGTCACCGCCCGGATTCGAGCGGCATCAGCCTGGCAAAGCCGGACGTTTGAGAGCCGGACGCAAGCCGCTTTCGAGCAAAACTAGGTAAAACAAGAACCAGAACACACTTAGCTCTTGAACAGAATAATTCAGCGATCAAAGCAAACCCAAAACCCTGCCACTTCAACTTGCCATTTGTTGATCCCAACTTTGGCAATGCGACGCTTCGCTTCGCTCGCTTGATCTTGCTGCCATGGCTAGCTGGCTGGCTGGCTGGCTGCCTGCCTGCCTGGCTGCCTGGCTGGCTGGCTGGCTGGCTGGTTGGTTGGTTGGTTGGTTGGTTGGTTGGTTGGTTGGTTGGTTCGGTGGTTCGTTTCAACGCAGGGCCCATGGTCCCAAGCCAGAACTTTGCCTCGACTTTTGCGAGAATCCCAGACCAGTGGCTGCCAGTTTGTCCCTCCAGGAAATTTCCCTTTGCCAAGAGAAGGGCACCATTCCACTGGCGGCTTGGGAAAACTGGTGAGTCCTGCAGGATCTGGACTCGCCTCGGCTGATTTGAGGCCTGGAGTCGGCGTTTAATGTTCGAATCCGGTTGCAAGCGTTGGCAAGGCCCGCAAGCGTTGGACATGTTCAAGCAGGCGCCATCAGGCGCCCATTGTTCGAACAACCTTCTTGAAGGGTTCCCCATTTAAAGGCCAAGCTCCAATCCCTCGGCGCTGCTCGCGAATTGGGGGTACGTGGGATCGGTGGCATGATGAAGCAACCCTGATGTCGGGTAGTTTATTCATATACTCATTATAGTGGTCGCACGACTAGGTGCAATTGCAGGGGAGGGGTCGGGTTTATTTCGCGTAGTAGTTTATGTGCCATTATATTTATGTGGAAGCGTGACTGTATCTGTTTGGATGGTAGCCAAAGGGAAACCGCTTATTTGAGGGGGAATGAGGGGGACAAGTTGATAGATGGAACTGGGGACCATGTGTTGCGTCCCACCCCCCCCCCCGGTGGGGACCTCGCGGCAAAGCACCGGAGTCTAGGTTGGCTCCGTCCTAACTCGTTTCGGACAGCTTGAGCCATAGGGTGTCATCCCGCGAATTATATCAAGCTGACAAGAGCTGTACCGAAGGGGTGTGCGACTCCGTGAGAAAATGTTACCTTTCTTGCGAAATCTGGATGGTAGCCTAAATCAATTCCATTGTGCTTCAGGCAGACTCCAAGGGGTCAAAAGGAACTTGGCAATCCGGATCGTAGCGGGCCCAGGCGCCATGTTTCGAGGTCTTTTGAGCGGCGTCGGGATCTCCCGAGTCGCTGGGGTCTTTTGATTTGACTCGTTGAGGACGGCCGGACAAGGCCCCCGCCAAAGGGTCAAATGACCCTTGGGGGTGTTTTTTTCTCGGCAACCATGGCCCAGTGGGTATGGGGAAACCATGTAGTTACCCATGTTAGACGGGATTAATTGGGCTCGCAGGGTAAGTACCGTGTGATTTCGGACTTGTGGTCATTTGCAATCCCAGAGACTTGCATCTTTGCCCTCCACATCTCTCTGCAGCACTAGAACGGATTATTCCTTATTTCCAGCTTGTGAGTGGTAAATTGCCAAGATTCCTGTTTGTTTTCCTTGGACGGCATGAGACGCCCAACTACGGTCAATTGCTTCAAATGACTTTCCCAGAATCAATATTGGCTTGGACGACCAAGTTGAGATCTTGGGGCAAAATGGTGTGGCCTTGGCCACGTGCCCCACGAATTCGCACGGAATTAGAATTCCATGCATCAGAATGAGGCTCGTGTGTCTCTTCGGCTTCGGAACGTTAGTGACTTTATAGCACAGTCGGAATCCATTTCCGCGGAAGGACCGATATCGCATGTGTTGAGGGGTGCTCCAACCAAAATGGGTTTGTGCCCTGCATGAGTTCTTTCTGTCTTTCTTTCTTTTGGATTTGTTTTGTGCTTTTATGTCCTTCAGATTGGTCAACTCCATCTAATTCACCAAGAACCAACCTTCAGTTTGGTGCTTACAATGTGCGTTCGGAAGCAACTGGAAGAGACACGTCGGGTCCGACTCCCCGCAAAGAAGCTCCGCAAAGCACTGGGCGATAGCTGGGGCTTTCGAACGCCCCGCAAGGACGGGCGGGAGAGGGAACCGCTGAAAAGCGCGCTCCTTTGCCGCCAACTGCCGACAGTCAAGAAACATGAGCTTGATAAGATGTTGACCCGGGTCGAATCGCCCAAGCCTGGGTTCCAGCCGCTTCTTGACACCTGGGGAATCAAGGTCAGAAGGCCGACCCTTCGTCACTTCCGTGTTGCTTTGGGTGATTGTGTGTAATTTCCCATGGATATGACGAGGTTGTCCCAAAATTTGGGGCGTCGAATGGTCGGTTTCCATTTGTGTTCCGTTGTCAATAACCCAACCAAACGAGGATTCCACCAAAAGGCACGCTAATGGTTTGCCCGGATTTTTTTGGAAGGGAAATCGTTGTGGGTGGCAAATGCAAGCGTTCACATTTTCGCCTCAACATGAATCTAGCAGCCCGCAAGCAGTCACGCACCTGGGTGGGCGAATAGGCATTCACCACGCACCTGGGGCTTTCCCCCATCTTCAGGGCCACTTAGCCTCCTGCAAAATCCCGAAGGATGCCCATTCACTCCAGCAAAAACAAATCGGCATTTCTGATTGTGGTATCTCATTTGGTGTTGGGGTGGGTGTGTCGTTTTTTTGAGGGGGCGCTTGGGGACAGCATTGTAGAGTAGCCATTCGGGCAGTTCTTCCATTTTCGTTGCGACCTGAACCAGCCTTCTTCGTCCTTTCAGGCGGAACTTGGTGGGATCCCTTTGGCCAAGTTTTGGGACGAACCTGCGATTTGTGTGGCGGTATCCGATTTTTCTAGCATCAAACCTGCTTGTTGTTTTCCCCCCACCCCCTCCCCCCAAAAAAAAAGAAAAGCAAAGGACGACAAACACCAACAGCTTGGGGAATCACCACCAAACACGGCTGGTTCGGCGGTAAAGGGCATGAATTGGGGGATGTAGGACAATCCACCCGTGCTTGGTAGCAAGTGACATCAACGGGTCACCACTGAAAATCAGCACGCCTTGGCCGTCCAAACCGCCGCGGAGAACCGGCGGCCGGAAACGCGCTCGGCCGCCAGGGATCATGGAGCGCATCCTGCAGCACCACCGGGGGGATATCCAGGTGGGCCATCTGCGCCGCCAGGCGCCTGCCGGGCGGTGGCCACCGGATTCTTCGAAGGGCGTCCTGAGATGTGTGCAATGTAACTGTATAGGTCCCCCCAGCTAGGTGCCCTTTTACCAAAAAAGAGACTGCAGAAAAAAGGGTGCCCTTATGCGAACCTCCCTACTGGAGGACCTAGAATGCAATATAGCGCAATGTAGTGCAATGCAATGTGCTGCACCGTTCCCATACCTGGGTCTTCCATTTGGTCACTTTTTGGGGCTCTGGGCATTGTTATTGCTCGTTTCAGATTTTGAGCGGAAAAACACAAAATGAGCGGACATCTTGATTTGGCATAATTTGGCAAGTGTTCTTCCGGAAAATGAGCGGAAATCGCCTGGGAAACGAGCGGAAAATTGCGGACACACACCAGAACCATTTTCCAATTGAGCATTTTCTTTCTGATTGAGCGTTGTTGGAGGACATGAGCACAATTTTTGCTCGAAATGGAAAAATCCAGAAAAAAGTGCCCACGGAAGACCTAGGTATATGTTTTGTTGAAACAAACCCACGTTTACACACATTATATATGCGTACCCGCATGTAGCGTAGTGTATTTGCATACAAATCTAAATATGAATTTGGACATGTTGGTATACATCATTACTCTCTTGTGTGTTTATGTTTTGTTTGGGTGCCTCCCCTTGGAGTTTCCTCGCTTCGCATGGTCACGATATTGATTGTTAGCATTATTCGCCACCTGGGCCGACGCACGTTTTCAGGCGGCTGCCTTTGGGGCTGGATCGTGTGTTTCCCATGGTTTCCCAACTTTGTTTCCCATTCTCTCGCCGTGGCCTCCTTGCCTCTGGCAGCACTCTGCGCACTCGACGCTCCCTTTCGTCGCAATGAACTTTGTCGCGGGTTGAAGTTCGTCCCGCTGTGTTTTCTGTCGCGCCCGCCCAACTGCCACACCTTTGTCTCTTCCTCATTTTCTCTGGTTAGCTCGTCTTAGACCGGGATCTTTGCCAACCACAGCGATGCGGGGGGAGCAGACAGTTAAACTTTTTGCGAAGGGTGCAAGAAAGGCGGTCTAAAACAAAATTTACTACCAAGGAGTTTGGAATAGGTTTCTGTTGTTTTGCTTGTAAGGTCTGACTGAGGAGGCTTGAATTTGACCAACCTTCATGTGCTTGGCTGTACTTTTGGACGGGCTGGGGCCAGGGCCTATTCAAACCTGCGCTCTCTGCCGCAGAAAAGTCATGGTGTCTAGATTGCGCACTGCCGTTTGCCCCCGAAGCCAAAGCCCCTTGCCTGTCCCCTTGAAATGAGCCCCTGGCAGTCAACCCAAGGAACCAGCAGATATCCCCTGGCACACCATGTAGGGGATGTAGGGGGTATGTAAGCCCAAAAGCTTGAGGATCTATCGGCAAGCGCAACCGCTTGGCACTTTTCAGAGCCACCCACCCACCAACCCAACCCACCCAGCCATCCATCCATCCATCCGTCCATCCATCCATCCGTTCATCTACTGACGGGTGCATGCCCTCATGACATCATTCATTCCCTACATCTCCCCTGGAACATAATAACGCCCAAAAGACACTGAGACTGATCTTGCCACCTCAGAAGGTGTTGCTTGGGGGGAATCCCTTGCTAGCAGCAGGTTACACCCCGTCGTGCTTCCATATGTAACTTGCCGCAACTTTGGTGCCCTCATGGGTACGCTGCGTCCACATGAGCCCACGGCCATGCCGAACCCGTTTGCAGTCTGGCTTCCCAGAATTAAGCCGTAACAAACGGAAACCATTTCTTAGTTGGACTCGCTAAAGGCCCTGGAACAAGACGTCACGCAGCGAGACATACTTTTAGGTGTGGGCGTCCTTTGAAGTAAGAATCGGAACACCTCAAATGGCTGATGCATGTTGGCGCCTTGAGCTCCCTATCAATACCAAGTGGGGGTCTTAGGACAATGTCAATAGTCACCAGGTGGGTGGGGTGGGTGGGGAAACGGGTGGGGAAACGGGTGGGGAAACGGGAAACGAGTCATGGAAGGAGCTCCTCAAGCAGATCCGGGAGTACCAAGAGCAACTTGCCGGGTAGCCCGGTGTGTGTGTGTGTGTGTGCGTGTGTGTCCGCCAGGGGAGGGGCGGGGGAGGGGGTTCTTTCGCAAAACTCTCAGAGTTGGATCGGGGCCGGCGGCGGCCCGGGGGGATGGGTGGGGATCTTTTTCACTCTTGGAATTTTACCGGAGGCCTTTTAAGGAGCATCCTATAGTTCGGTGAAAATCGATATGTGAAATGGAATTCTGCCCTCTACTTGCACCCTGCAGCTCTCCAAAATCCTCCTGGTTGGCCTGTAGACTTTGTGCCTGGTCATTCAGAAGCCAT